GCAATCTCATTGAACTTTCCTAGGGCTAATTGTGAACTCTTAACATGCCTTATGCTTTCTCGAACCTTGTGGATCACATCTCGAAGTGCTTCCATGACATCGAAAACGATTGATTTCAGTAGCTGCACTGCACAACGCATGTCAAACAATTCACCATTCTTTAACAGCGGCCTGTTTTGAGAAAGCCAGTCCTTGATTCTAATAATCATCTCATCATAGCCTGTACAATGATCGAAAGTCATAGAAAACAACTTACGATCAATGGCCCAGTCTGTCAAACTTTTTATAACAACTTCTGAAAGTATGTCATCTGTGTGAGAAGGATCCAGTGTTATGAAATTCAGCATTTTCTTCTGCAGTTTCCAGTCTTCATCAATATAAAAAGCAGTTAAACACAGATACCGTGCATTTTCAGATGAAGTCCAGACATCAGCAGAGAGAGTAATTCTTCCATGCAAGTTATGGATCGCCTCATACACCTTCTGTTTCTCTTTTGCATAAATTGTCATACAGTCAAGTTCAACAGCACTGTTAGTCAAAGTCTCAAATAGTGGCTGTAAGTTCTTGACAAATATTTTGAATCCAACATGGTCAACCATGGCTAAAGGATAACCATGTAACATGATCATACGGGCAAGATCCAGACGGCTACGCTCTTGATCAAATCTAACACTGCCAAGGTTGATAGGCATAGTAGCTTCCTCTTTCTTTACTTCTTGATCAAACTTAAAGGTCACAGGGTTAACGGTTTCTTCTTTCCTTTGCCCTTCTTCATAAGTGACAACTGCAACAGTAGTATCTTTTCTCTTCCTCTTTGCTGCAAGTATTTGGGAAACATCATAGTTGGATCTTTTTAGACACCGCAACAAATGATTCCTTAGATGAGTTGTTCCACTGTTACTCGATCCACTAAGCTTCTTTTTACAATGTACACAAACAGCATAACAGATATCTGCCTTTCTAACTCTTTCAAAATGATTCCACACAACGGATGTCAACCTCTTTGGTTTCTTTGCTGGGGTCTCAACTGGAATTTCCATGGCATGGATGAAGCTAAATTAACCAATCTGTTTTCACTGAAATGGTTTGGCCTAAATGCTGTTAAATGACAAAACAACAGTAACCAAGTTTCTGATCAGGATCTTCTTTTTTTTAATCAGGACAACAGCAACCAAGTAAAATGCTATGGCAGAATTTTAAGGAAGCCAAAAAGGTTTGTACTTCAAAATCATTAACCAAATCCAGCATCTGAAGAAAGGAAAAAAGATGAAAAACTCAAGTTTTGAGCCTCATAATACTATCCTAATCATTGTAGACATGCTGTAGATTTTGTTATTTAAAAAAAAAGACATTGCTTTAAAGTTTATGTACTCAATCTTGAAAAAGACAACCAGCCTAATACTCATCACAACTCTTTCAACTGGAGTCAGTTTGTCTATCTGATTTATGCTCTATCTCTTTCTCTCTCTCTCTCGATTTATCTGATTATGAGCTTTTTCTTGTGCGTGGATATAATAGCTCATATCCTCTGGAAGGAACATTCTTTTTTCATAATGAAACAAAAACAACAAATCGAGAGCAAAATAATGGTGAGTAGTCTATACAAGCTCCGCTGAAATAAAAAAGAAGGATATACTTGATTGACACTGAAGCACCAATTGTACAGTTCAAGTATCCATAAACCACGCACAAACAACTCATGAAGTCAAAAGCATTTTATTTTGCAGCCTAAGCTTTAATATAAAGAAGCCAAAGAAAAGAAGAAAAAAAAGAAATCTCATGTTTATTGGGTTGAAAACGGGTCTGATAGAAGTGGCATTCCCCTAAAGAGCATCGGTGGGGGCTTGCAACATACACTCAACAGGTTCTACTGAACCAATTTCTTTTTACCCAGAGCATAGATAATATAAGAAACACTAAAATTCAACAAATATTAAGTTCTGAACCACAAAATCCAAAGGTGCAATGGATTCAGTGGTCAGAACATAATAAAGGTTGAACCAATCAAGTTTAAATCTTGGATCCGCCTCTGGACTGTACGTGTTCACAAAATTCACGACAATGTTGATCCACGATACTGGCAACAGTAGCTTTATACTGACCAAAGTACATGCATACACTCACATATCCAAGTTCATAACTAGATTAATTTACAACATCCAAATGATCCAAATTCCCAATCAAATCGAATTAAAACAAAAATTGCAAAACCAATTTAAATAAGCACAAAACCACACAATAAGACATTAAAAAAACAACTTTGCCTAAAAAGTCAATCGAATTAATCCGTATATCAACTACACCTCAATCCCAAACTAATTGGGATCGGCTATAAAAATCCTCTACATCCTTTCCACTTATTCGGCCCCAGTAAATTAAAAAGAAAAATGCACAAAAAATCTAATTTTGTGTGACTGAAAATTAAACGAGATTTTCAAAATTGAGCTCAAATTGATTCACTTGAAATTAATTCGGGTTGAAATGCGAACCTAGAAAGTGAAGAGCTTTTCGTTGACGTTGTTCAGAGAGAGATCCGATCAGAGGATCCGAGAGAAAATAGGGTTAGGGTTTGGATTGGATTAGAACGGAGAAGAGAATATGAACCGGATGTTGAGACCGGGAACCGGGAAGATCCGGTAAGAATGGCCCGATTGCGTGATTTGGGATTTGGGTGGTTCACACATTTGTGAAGTCCGTTTTGAGGGTTAGCAAAAATTTGGGTCGGGTCGGGTTGGTTTGAGATTAGGTGTGTTAGGTAAAATGGATCTTCTCTTCTTATTTTATTTATGAGATATTTTTTCTTAAATTTCTGGATTTTATTGCTATAACAAATATTAGTCTTGTAACTTGATAGTAATTCTTGTCTACGATTTGGTTAACCTAATATTAGTATTAGAAGATTACTACGGATAATAAAAATTAGATAGTTTTTTATTTTAGCAAACTAGCAAAATCTTCACTAAATCACATGAAGATTTTAAAATTGGGAAACTTACACAAATGTCCCAAATAAATCTCAACTTACCAACCTCTGGCCATTAGTCATAGATTTACCAAAACTAGCCAACCAAAATTGAAAAACCAAATAATATGGTTCTTTTTCTCAAAGAATCACATCCAAAAATCACCTTCCATATTTTTAAGCGTGATTAGCAACATTAGATACAAGACGGAAAGGAAATTTCATGGACGGGGTAGGAAATAAGATGATGAAATACAAAAATCGATACAACATTCCAAAAATCTAAACAAAAGAGAAACTTTTTCAATGGGTATAGTTGAAATTCATTGAAAATATATAGATAAGTCAATATACAAAATTTAGGAAGATTGGAGGTGATTTGGACTGGTTTTGCATCAAAATTCGTAATTAAATCGAGTTCAAAAAAGTCTTCTACGACACATGTATCAAACATGTATCACGCATGTATCTCACACACAGGTATACATGGATATACATGTGATACACAATTGATNATACATGTGATACACAATTGATACAGATATGATACATATGTGATACATAAATGATACACAGTGTGATACACATATCATTTTTTTTTCATGTTCAGCTTTTACTTCGAATTTTCAATTCAAACCACCTCAAAACTTCACCAAATCATCACAAAACTGAGATTCAAGCTCCTTATGTTGTGCCCAATCTATTCTAATAACACCCACTCAAAACAAAGCAAAATTTTGATATTTTTTTTGCTACAAATAGCTAATTGGCTAATTTGGCTAATATTAGTAATATTTTATCAATTGGCCAATTTTTGTAATGAGCTACTTATAAATGGACATAACTGGTAATTTCCCTATCAATATAATATTGTGGAACTTGAATTGAAAAGTTCAATAAAATGAATAAATTATGTGTGACATTATTTTGTGTTACTTATGAAGTTACATCATCTTGAAACATGTTATATTAACTTTTTGTAGATTTCATGAAATTTCTTGAATATTTTAAACAAGTTTCCTCAATTATTCGTTTACCGATAATGGTGTGATTTTGTAGAAATGGCAGCAAGTAGCCACTCTAAAAGGCTGCTATTTAATAATTCGTCAATATATCCTGAATGTCCTGAATTATCCTGAAGTTAAGATTTTTGCTTTAACACTTCAGGACAAAATAAGTACTGGCAAATCTCTAAATAGCATCCCTAAAAATAGATGTTTGTGCGCCTGCAATTTTGCGCAAACTGTGTAGGCCTGCATCACACTTCAACCTATGTATGGGTTTGGATATGGAACTGGAGAAGTTTTATTAGTTTTATACTTCTTATCCTACATTAACATCTACCCCATCGGGTAGAGGTAAGGTCTGCATATATACAACCCTCCCCAGACCCTACTTGTGGGACTACACTAGGTGGTCATTGTTGTTGTATCCTACATTAATGATAATTTAACAATATTTATCATGGTATTATTTTTTATACACGTGTGCACATTGTTTTTCTTTAAATATTATTTACACATATTTAGTGAATGTTTTTGGCGAAGTGGCATCAGATGACACTCATTATAGAAGGTTGTCTCCGCGCTACTCAAATAAAGATAAAATCTTCTTACACAGGAGAGGGAAGCCACCTTGCAATAACAACAACAACAATAACAAACCTTACCCCTAGCCATGGGCGGATTTTGGGCGGCGGAAGGGTGTTCACCCGAACTCCCTTCGTCGAAAAATTACACTGTATATATAAAGCAAAATTTATTTTTTACCTCTATATATTATGTTTTGAATCCCCTTGACACAACCTTTTTAACTTTTTTTCTTTTTTCTTTTTTTGAACCCCCTTGGCGGTAATCCTGCCTGCGCCACTGCCTCCGCCACTGCCCCTACCTAGCGTATTCCACAAGTAGGGTCTTAGGAGGGAATTGTGTCGCATACCTTACCCCTACTTAGTAAAGATAAAAAGGTTATTTGCGATAGATCCTCAGAATCACCTTGCCATAAGGTTTCATTTATATATGAGTGAGAAATTTTTGTAAGAAAGAAGAATACACTAGCTTCAGAAATTATTTCTGGAGCAAGATTGTGTACAATAGTTCATTCCAAGCATCTGGAACTCCAGCTACACACCAGTGACTGCAATCGGTTTCGCCATTCGCATATCTTGATGGATGTCCATCTTTTCGCAGTTGTGTAAGCAGTGCAATATCAAGTAAATAGACAGATTTTGTCATGTTACTTAGTACATTCTTCACCACTGCCTCTCCTGGATATCTGTCTCCTGGATAATTTGAACCCTCTATTGGTTTTGTTTGTCCACTGCAGTCCTGCACCATTGGTTCATTCCAGTCCTTGCCACTGAAATAGTAACCAAGTTGAGTTAACTGGTCTTCATTAAGTTTTACAAAGTAAACATACTAAATGGAGAGGTTAAGTTCAATTATGGCCACTGAACTAATGTGCGTCACGTGATCCTACTGTGTTTTTTGCACGTTACTAGGTGGACAGTTAATCGGAAGGGGCAGCCCGGTGTACTAAACTCCTTCTATGTGCAGGGTTTTGGGAAAGCCTGGACCACTAGGATCTATTGTATGCAGCCTTACCCTGCATTTCTGCAAGAGGCTGTCTCCACGGCTCGAACGCGTGACCTCCTGGTCACATGGCAGCAACTTTACCAGTTACGCCAAGGCTCCCCTTTACAATTAACCGGAAGCTAACTTCAATTTATCCAGTACAGCGCAATATTTGTGGTCACATTAATGTAAATGAATTTTACCAACTATAACAATAAACTCGTAAAACTACTTTTTGTCATATTAAAGTAACTGACTTCATCCACTATAATAGTAAAGTTATTAAACTGTATGCACTATACCAACAAAACCTACACATCAAGTGACTTCACTGTTATAATAGGTAATATTTCGTGACTTTACTACTATAATGAGTAAAGTCATTATAATACTAATACCTGTGGCAGTAGTATTAGCCTTGCATTTTTGTTCGTGGAGTTATATGTCTACCTATTAATTCTTTCGCTTCAGTTATTTTACCATATCATTGTTGTTACCGCTTGTTGCTACTACTCCTTTTCGTTTTGTCCTTGAGCCAAGGGTCTTCGGAAATAGCCTCCCTACCTTCAATATTATGGACCAAAACGAAGCATTTATGATATCGAAGTTCCTACATCCAACCCCAAGTAGCTCGCAATTGAGGCATAGTAGTTGTTGTAGTACCGTCGTTATAGTGGATAAAGTTCAGTTACTTTAATGTGTCGAAAATAGTCTTGTGACATTACTGTTATAGAGTGTCCATACTTGCAAGAAATGCTAACCGATGTTTCGTTGAGATTAAAATGTTTAGGGGAAGAAGAAAATCTGTCTGATAACTTACTGATAATGAACAGCAGAAATTCCTTGGAAGAACACTTTGGTCATAGCAGGATCAATGTTGGAATCAATCCAATTGCCCCAAGTAGTCAAAGCAATCTTGTATGCTTCCATATGGTCAGTCTCCTTGTAGATCTTGTCACCAACTTGAAAATAGTCCCATCTGCAAGAAAATCAAGAAAATGTGATTTTTTTTTTCTCTTGCAATTAGAACAATGAAGTCTGGTTTTCTATTATGTTGATGAAGAAGCGCACGTTTGTAGGCTGCCGGTATGTATCCACCAATGGTAGCTGTTGAAGATTAAGAAATCGACTCCTTTCCACTGGTAGCTCCTGCTGAGAGAGTCGAGTTTGAGAACTCGACCTGCTTCCTCGACCACTAGGTCAACGAGAAATCCATTTTTCAAGAATGTGACCGTGAACTCAAACTCCTTCCAAATGCAACAAAAAGAGCATGAGAAAGAAAAGAAGGATACATTTCAAAAGTAAAAAGAAAGTTGCAGAACAAGGAGATGCTGTAGGCATAGAATGAAGGCAGAAGTTGATACTTCATTTGATCAGACAGTGACAGACCATTCTACATTGGCTAAGAATTCAAAGAATGATGGCGGTTCAACATTTCAGCATTAGCCATAACCATTATATATGCAACAGAGCCAGAATTGAAGATCAATCACATATCGAGTCACTTCCAAATTCCAATCTTTCCGTTACATAAACAGAGTAAACGACTCGTGTTAGGCATTCATAATAAGTTCTGGTTTGCACTTTGTACTGAGTTGAAAATGAATGGCATGTCCAAATGCGGCCAGTATTTGTCTAGAGGCTAAGTAGGACGCTAAGAATTGGTTTCCGAGCATGATATATGGTCATTCGCTATTAACACTATAGATCGGAAAACATGCTAGTGTTATTAGAAAGAAGGGTTGTATCATTTAAATCACAAAAAATGCAGTAAATTACACGTGTTTTTGAAAGCTTTCATCAACAACAAACCTAGTATAATCCCATAAGTGGAGTCCGGGGAGGGTAGTGTGTACGCAGCCTTATCCTACCTTGAGAAGGTAGAGAGGCTGTTTCCGATAGACCTTCAGCACAAGGAAAGTTTTGAAAGTATTCGTCGTGATATGAAAATTAAACAATTGATTTTTCCATCATGAACTTTAACCTGTCAAATAATTGACTCACCGGGAATGAGAGAACGGAACGATTTCTTGTTCTGTCAAATGTGTAATTAGAATTCGGAACTGCAGCGTGAAGCATGCATGCTAGTGATTGCCATTGATTATTGCTCAAGGAATCACCCACAAACATGAAGCTTTTGCCTCTCAATTTTTGCATAAGATCTTCGCCATTGAACCTATGCATTAATCCAAAATAATTCATCAAACAAGTCTTCAATGATAATAAATTACTAATCGAAATGGCAAACTATAGACACTCATTTTGAAGCAAAAAAAAATAAATAACAACAATTATCGCTACACCTCATTCCAAGCAAGTTGGGTCGGCCAGATGAATCACCACTGACCATGTTACTTCACTTAAGCTCATTTTAATCGAATATTTAAGAAAAGAAGTAAATGTACTAAAAAATTTCTATATTTTCTACTGGCATATATATCTCGCCGACTAAAAAACTCCTAGAAACCATAGGAATTTTTCTTTATCAATAATCTTAGAAAATTACATTAAATATGCCTATGTACAACAATAACAACAACAACCCAGTATAATCCCACTTAGTGGGGTCTGGGGAAGGTAGTGTGTACGCAGACCTTACCCCTACCCTGGGGTAGAGAGGCTGTTTCCAAATAAACCCCCGGCATCCTTCCCTCTGAGAACATTTCACCTTGCTCTTGGGGAGACTCGAACTCACAATATGCCTATGTAACAAAGCATAATCAATTCCAATACCAGAATAAAATATGAGATTGCAGTAGATTGACAGTTAGGTAATACTAGTCAGACCATGAAAATACTCTTTAAATACTAAACAACCTAAATTAAATAGCAAAATCTGATTAAATTAGGATTTAGCTGAACGATTGATTGAAGAGGAAGGGTGCATTATACAAACACATAAAAATATTAATTATGGTTAAGGATCATTTTATGTGGCATCTTTTTATTATTAATCCTTTTTTAAAAAAGATACGTTTTATATTTAGAAATAATTTGAATGTAAATTTCTCATTTTACCTTAGAATGTGTTTGGTACGTAGCAAAATCCAAAAATAACCAAACACGAAAAATATTTTTCTTGATAAATTATATTCCATTTGAGAAGGATAAACAACTTGCTTTGCTTATGTTTTTCTCCAATAGTATATTCGAAGTAGTTTCTACATTTTAGAGTCTTAAATAATGAGACAAACTTTTTTTTCTCAAAAAAATATTTTCCTTTAATATCAAACAGTACACTTGGGGGTTATTTGGTACGCGGGACAAGGTGAGATAAAGTGGGGATTAAATTTATACTGTATTTGATTGACAATATAAATTTATCCAGATCTATTATCTCGAAATAATTTAATCCGCGTACCAAACGAACTCTGACATGCTATTATAGCCAAAAAAATATCCTAGCTGATTTAAAATCACAAGTTCCGTATCCGTGCATTAAAATTGGGACACATGAATAACAATTGTTAATCCACAGAGAAACTGAACAACCTCCCTATCTTATGAAAATATCACGGGCTAGCCAGCTTTCAGACTGATAATTGAAAAATAGCTTGCGTTTGCAACGTTATTGAAAAATAGCCACTATCTTGCCGCAATGCGGAAAGTTCCAGCATAATATACTGGAGATTGGTGCACTTGTGTATAAACTTCCAACATATTATGCTGAAACTCCAACACACGGAAAGTTCCAGCATAATATATTGGAGATTGGAATACCTTTGTATGAACTTCCAGCATATTATGATGGACCAGTATATTATACTGGAGTGGCCAAATTTCGAATACTTTTGTAACGGTGACTATTTTTTAGTTACCACTTATAAATCTGGCTATTTTTAAATTTTACCCCTCTATCTTCACTCGGTAGAGTAAGGTAAAGTGTGCCTACACGCTACCCTTTACGGATTTCATTATGTGAGATTATACTAGGTATATATATGTTATTTTTATTGTTGTAAACCAGAGTGAAACTGAATTTAGCTGGAAAAGAGAAGTCATTGATGTACCAACAAGGGTTGTGGTGGAGTGGTAAGTACTCCTTCATGCTTAACAAGAGTTCTCGGGTTCGAGCCCCTGGATATGGAGTCGCCTTTGTTAGGGAGCGCTTTACCCCCTAATGTGGAACTTCCCGGCGCGAATCTGAATTTAATCGGGCCCCAATGTCGGTACCAGACACCGGACGGGAAACCAAAAAAAAGAGAAGCCATTGATGTTCCCTGGGGAGGTCACAGTCAGTGGGCTGCCATCTATACTTGAGGAAATCTTGATCATTTCTGCCATTTTTGAGGCAATTGAGACCTGGGTCTATGAATGGACACTGTAATGAATCATAAAGTGGATAAGAATCGTCAAAAATCCAGCTTCCTTCAAACAAATTACAGTTTGTCAATTGTTGGTGTTCATAAGATAATGTTATTAGAGGAAAAAATACAAGAAAAAAGTATAAGTTCAGACAAGAAAACCAGCAGCTACAGCTGGTTCTTTTTTTAGCAGACATGGAGAAACAAGTTAGAACTCAAAAGCTAACAAAATGGTGAGCTCTCAATGAGAAAAAAGAAAAAGATTTACCTTTTATAAACAAAAATATTTACACAATCGGATTAGTTATTAGGTAAAAAAAAAAAAAAAAAAAAAAGCATCCCGATGCACAAAACATTCCGTATTTGCGCAGGATCCGGAGAAGGCCGCGGTTATTAGGTTAAAAAAAAAAAAGGTAACCCGATGCACAAAAGCATCCTGCATTTACGCAGGATCTGGGAAGGGCCGCATCTCAAGGGCTGTGATATAGGTAGTCTACCGTCAATGGCGAAGCCACATGGTCATAAGGGTTCGTCGAAAAATTACATTGCGTACATAGGTAAAATATACGTTTCAGAATTATATAACACATATTGATTATCCTTTATCGGAAATTTTTTTCACTTCTTTTAAATTTGAACACTCTTGGGGAAATTCCTAACTTCGCCACTGTCTACCGTAATGCAAGCATTGGTGGTTGCTTTCATGGCTCGAACTCGTGACCTATAGGTCACATGGAGACAACTTTACGTACCGTTGCTTCAAAGCTCCCCTTTAACAGTTATTTGGTAATGATAGATAGTTTTTGTAATAAACATTGTATTGCCTAATAAAAATGGCAATTAATCTACTATTATAGATTTACACTGATAATGTAAAAGTCTTTAGTTGTCAGTGTATATAACTTAAATTCAAATACATAAATAGTGTAAGAGAATTCATACTATTGACATATATTACTTAACATGTTATAAAAGGTTATATGTAAAAATAAATCAGGATTTGAAGTTTATGAGCTTTAAAAATAACTTCAAGTTGGATTTACTATCAAATTTTTATAAATATTTTTGTGGATTTTGTAATATAACAGCATTCTTATATAACAGTTATTCACAACAAAAATAATTTTTTTCCTCGTAACTGATTCTTATGTTATAATATAT